GCGATGCCGCCGCCGAGTGGCCCCGGCGTCCTCGCGCGGCTATTGCCGCTGCTGGGGCTGCTGCTCGGCGGCGCCTCCCGGGCTCCCGGCAAGTCTCCGCCGGAGCCCCCCAGCCCTCAGGGTGAGTCTCGGCTACGAGGGGCGGCGATCGTGGGCCTGAGTCCGGTGATCGGCTACCACCGCTGGCCCCCTCTTCACGATGCTAGTGGCTTGGGGTGCCTTCTGCTCCCAGGATGGGTGGGGGAAGGCGACCCGAGATCGGTGCTTCTGGGAGAGAGAATGGGGGACTGTTTGCTGCCGGGGTCTTGGGGAGACACAATGGGGAGAGCTAGGGTCTCCAGGCTCGGCGCCACCGCCGCCTCCGACTTGTTTTTCTCCCTCCCGGTCCGCGAGGCCCTGCAGCCAGAGCTATTGTCTGCGGAAGACACCCGCCCAGGGGCGGGCTGGGGCGGGCGCCCGCTCTGCAGCCCCCCGCGGGTCCCTAGCCGCGACCCAGGCTGGGTGGGGGCGCAGGCATCGGCTGCCACCCTGGGCCGGACGGGGGCTGGGAGCCGAGAGCTGGGCTGCAACGGGGGAGGGGAGAGGAGGAGTGGGTGAGGCTGTGGGCGGGATTGACTGCTCGAATGGGGTTTTCACCCAGGGAGCTTGACAGCTTCCCAGCCAGTCCCCCAGGTTTAGAATTTGGGGTGCATAAAATAAACACTGATCGGCTCATACTGGAGGGAGGGGCTTCAGTAGGAGGGGGCTGAGGAAAGGGGTAATTGTGATTCCCAGTTTGAGGCGCATGGCAGGGCTGTGGTCGCGGAGCCATGCTGAGCTGGCTGGCTGGCTGTAGGCAGTACCAGCTGAGAGGGCAGGTGTCTGGGTACTTGTCCAGCCCGTCTCTTGCTACTGCTCTCCTCGGCCAGCTTCCAGATCTTCATTTCACTTCCCTCCCCAAAAGGAGGAGACGCTGACCCTCCTCAAGCCTAACCCAGCTCAGATGGGTGTGTGAGGTAGGGGTAGGGCCGGCCTCTGCGGTGGGAGCTGGAGACCCTGACTCCACAGCTCACTCCTGAGTGCCCTGGGCCTCCACCCTCCCCATCTTTGCTTTCCTCTCCCACCTTTCATGTCTTGCGCCACCACCCTACTACTGCTGTTCCTTCCTTTGCATGTGGCTCCATCCTGAAAGTGTTCTTCGTTCCTCACACCCCCCCCCCCCCGCCCCAACACACACACACACCAGAAGCTAGCAGGAAAGGCGGGGTGGGGGGTTGCTTGGTTGAGGGAAGTAGGGTCCGGATGAAGGGAGGAGGTCGGATTTCCTCCTGGAGTGAGGCAGGGCTGAAGTGGAGAGATGCAGATAGCGTGTGGAATGTCAGGCTTTGAGAGTAGGGAGGGCTTTCCCTATGCCTCAGTCTCCCCTGATTTCCCAGAGAAGAGGCACAAGATTCTTAGGAAGCTCCGCCCACCCCAAGACTCTGCACCCCGGGGAAGGGAGGGCCCAGGGAATTAGCTGGAATAGCGCCAGGACTGGGGGCTCTCTCAGGCAGCTGGCTGGGAGCCCAGGCTGTGGGGAAGAGGGGAAAACTGCTAGACACCTGCCCCACCTCCCAACTTGGCACCGATGCTCCTCAGGCCTTACCTGCCCACCTCCTTACTGTTTCCCCAGACCCCTCCCCTCTTCTGAGGCTTTGGCCCTTAAGCCCAAAGGCTTCCCTCAAGTGACGAAATTTCAGACTCCTGGACACCCTCGTCCCAGCTGCTCTCTCCAGCTGTTCCTAGCCTAGGAGAGGGCTGGGAACAGTCACGCCCTTTTAGCTTCTCAGAATTCCTACTGGGGCAGGAGGCTGCCACTCCTTGGAGAACCAGAGTGGGAGTGGGCAGAGTGGGTGCCCCACCCTGAAGAGCTAGACTTTGGCCTAGACTGGAGAGGGAGATGGGCTCTGCGAACAGCCGGAAGGGATGCCGGGGACAGGCGTGGTATCCTGCACTGGACGCCTGAGATGGGACACCTGTCACTGTTGAGTGTCAGACTCCAGGAAAAACCTTCTTGAGGGTCTGTGGCTGCCCACACCCCTCCCCCTTGCCACCTCTGCCCTCAGCTCCAGACTTCTCTTCCTGGGATTTTCACCCAGCGCCCACCTGCCTGCTGCATCTGAACCCCTCCGTCTGTGACACTCGTGGGGACGGCAGGGGTGAGGCATGGTCTTGAGGGAGAAGCTGGTGCCGAGTTAGATAGCGGAGGCCGCCTGGGGAAATTCATGAGAGTAACTAAAGCCCTCCTCACCCCTTCCAAGCCCAGAGCACCGCACTCTCAGGGCCAGCATAGCCAGGTTATCCTGGAGGCGGGGGTCACAACCCGGAAATCTACAAGTTTTATGCTTCCTTCCCCGTCCCCTCCACACTATTTTCCACTGGACCTGGGTCTGTTTGCCATGCTGCCCGTCCTCACCAGGGCCCCAGCTCCTTTGCTTGATCTCCTGGGAGGAATAAGGACGTTGCCATGGCGACTGACTGTAGCTGACCGGCTATAGGCTTGAGGGGAGGGATATTTGTTTGGGCTTAGGAGCTGGGGCAGGTCCCTAAATTTGAAGGGAAACAGGTTTTTGGAAACTCACCCAGAGAGGGGATGAGTGATAGGTATGACCTAAGGCAGCTTAGGGTCTTGGTTTTTTTCTTTCTTGGGAACTCAAATGAGGGCCCAGCTCCCATCCTCCCTCCCAGTTACCTGATCTTGACTCTCCCCTTCTTCCCCTGAAGCTCCCCATTCTCCCCTGCCTCCTGCTCTCTTCTCCTCACCATGGACACTGGTCTCTTAGGTCAAGGGACTAAAAGTTTATATTCTAGATGGAGACAGCTAGGTTTGGAGCTCAAATTTCTCACTTAACTGTAGTGCATTAACTTACATGTTCTGAGCCTCTCTGTCTTTATCTGTAAAATGGGCTGAGGGCATATTTTAGCAAATATAGCATTTTCTTTTTTTAATATTTTTATGGTTTATTTACCTTTATTTTATGTGCACTGGTGTCAGATTCCCTGGAACTGGATCTTCAGACAGTTGTGAGCTGCCATGTGGGTGCTGGGAATTGAACCCAGGCCCTCTGGAAGAGCAGTCAGTGCTCTTAACCACTGAGCCATCTCTCCAGCCCCAAATAGAGCATTTTCTTGGCTGTAAGATGTATTCTTATTTTGGAAACCAGTAAGAATGGGGGGGGGGGGAATGCTGTCACTTGTCATGATGACATCATTCATTCCAGACACCAGCTGAGCTCAGAAACGTGAAAGTGTGCACGGGCTAGAATTCCCTCCCCCTCGGACTGCTGGCTTTGGCAGAGAGCACAGTTCACTGATAAGAGGGCCTGGATGTAATCCCCAGCACTGTGCCGCGATCCGTCCCAAAACGTCTCTCCTCCAATATCCCCCCCCTTGTTATCCTCACTCCCTTCACCCCATCTTCCCACAGAGATCCTGATCAAGGTACAGGTATATGTGAGCGGGGAGCTGGTGCCCCTGGCCCGGGCCTCAGTAGACGTGTTTGGGAACCGCACTCTGCTGGCTGCTGGCACCACGGACTCAGAGGGCGTGGCCACACTACCCCTAAGTTACCGCCTGGGCACCTGGGTGTTGGTCACCGCTGCCCGCCCGGGTTTCCTCACCAACTCCGTGCCATGGCGTGTTGACAAGCTGCCGTGTGAGTGCAGGGGCAGGTGGAGGGGGTGGGATAGGGCAGCAGCTGACCCGTCATCAGCTCCTTCCCAAATTAGTCCTTGGGGGTGGAGGGGGCAGCTTCTCAGCAGCTGCTGCCTGGGCTGGGGCATATAGAAGGGGCTGGGGAAGATGAAGCCATTGGGATGCAGCCGACAGGGGCATCTAGGGAGAGCTTCTAGAGCTGACAGGCCGTCCTTCTTGCAGTATATGCGTCGGTCAGCCTCTACCTGCTCCCCGAGCGGCCAGCCACCCTCATCCTCTATGAGGACCTTGTGCACATCCTCCTAGGCTCTCCAGGTAAGCCACACCCTGCTGCTCATTCAGTAGCTCCTCTCCCTTGATCTTAACCTGTGTGCGGACATCTTCACACAGTAGCTGGGCATCCTTGGGCAAGTCACTCGCCCTCTCTGAGCTGTCCTTTATGCATGTATAAGATGTGGAAGGATAATACATCATCAACTTAAGGTTAAAAAATGCATCAAATGTGCTATGAGAAAAAACCGGGTGTTCAATAAATATTTATAGTTTATTTGGGGCTTTTTGTGGTTTCTATTCTCCTCCAGTTCCTACCTCCCTGACCAGTTTACCTCCAGTGGATCTACATGTCCCTGTCCTGCACCTACCTGGTGCCTGGCTATTCTGAGGCCACGAGGGCCTTCCACAGCAACTGAATGTCTAGGCAGTGGCCTGGAGCGATCCTCAGTGTCTTTTGTCTTGATGCACAGGCCTTCAGTCTCAGCTCATATTTCGCACCTGCTCTGTGCCATGGGGATGGCCGGTGCTAGGACCCGGGGTGAAGGAGAACAGACCCTCAGTCCACCTCCTGGTCATAGGCAAGTGGGAAGACAGACAAACGCCACTGCAAATCCTGGGAGAGTTACAGGACAGGCACACAGTGACAGAAACATCCCTCACCTCTGGGGGAAATCCAGGGGTGCTAATAAAAGGAGCCATAGGCTGTGTGGCCTGGGAATGGAAGTAGCTGAGGTGCCCGGCTGGAGAGAAAGTTAGGGGAGTTGGTGGCAGAGCGGGCTACTTGGACTTTCTGTCTAGTACTACAGACCTATACTATAGTGGGCTTCGGAGGAGGAAAGACCCCTCTCCAGTTTAAGTTCTTACCGGATCCTTGTTGACAAATTGCTAGTTTGCCTTCTTCCTCTCACTGACCCCATACCCGAGGCCTCCAGAATGCCAGGGCTTCTAAAATGCCAAATGGGTCTTTGTTGCCCAGTGCTTCTGCCCTCTCATGACTTCCACAACTCTCCGTGTGAAATGCAGCGCTCTTCAGAGAGCTGGCAATACCCTCCAGGACCACCACCCCATCGTAGCTTGTAACCAGAGGGCCTTCCTCCTGCATGTCCCCCAAAGCAATCCTGCTTTCTTCCTCCCTTACCCTACAGAACTCCAGCGGGTGGGCCAGGCTGCTGACATTTAGTAGTAAATCAGGATGGACTTGCGTGGAGGGATGTGGGTGACAAGGCCAGGCTCCAGGGTGGTGGCTCTGGAATGTTGCTAAAGTTCTGGTTCCATTTCTGCATCTCTAAAATGGAGTTGATACCTCAGGGGCTGTTAGGCTAATTAAGGGGGTTACTATACATAGCCTGCTTAGGACAGTATCCAGCATATTTTGAAGCTTAATAAATGTTACCTATGATCACACTGGATTGGAATTCTGTTTATACGTCTGCTCTCTTGGCATACACACACACACACACACACACACACACACACACACACACACACAGCACTGTAAGCTAATGTGTGTCTGTCTAAATGGAAATGATTTGAGGCTGAAGAGATGGCTCAGTGCTTTGGAGCACTTGTTGCTCTTCCAGGTACTTGGGTCTATTGGATTCCCAGTACCCACATGGTGCCTTGCAACTACTTTGTCCCAGGGAATCTGACGCCCTCTTCTGGTCTCTGAGAGCACTGCACACATGTGGTGCAAAGACATACAGACAAAACACTAACACACAGAAAAATAAAAGAAAAATATATACTTCTTTTGTTTGTTTGTTTTTCAAGACAGGGTTTCTTTGTGCAGCCTTAGCTGTCCTAAAACTCACTCTGCAGACCAGGCTGACCTTGAACTCAGAGATCTGCCTGCTTCTGCCTCTCAAGTGCTTGGATTAAAGATTTGTGCCACCACTGCCCAGCAAGGAAAAAAAATTTAAAAAGATAAATTCAGCTCCTCAGCCACACACTTTAGCTACTTTTCTCTTTTTTTTTTAATTTTTGAGACAGTAGCTCAGACTTCTGTCTGGCCTAAGACTCCTGATATAGCAGGGCAATGGTAACACACACCTTTAATCCCAGCACTCGGGAGGCAGAGGCAGGCGGATCTCTGTGAGTTCGAGGCCAGCTTGGTCTGCAAAGCGAGTGCCAGGACTGCTACCCAGAGAAACCCTGTCTCAAAGCAAAACACCAGCTTCCTGCTGTAGACTCTCAAGTGCTGACATTACACATGTGTGCCCTCACTAGCATATGGATCCAGACCACTGAATGGGCAGCACAGACAAGAACCCTTCTTTCCGTCATGGCAGAAGGTTCTAGAGAAAGTATAAAGAACAGCACCCATGGGACTGAGAATGAAGGCAGGGGATCTCCTAGTCAGTTCCACATCCCAGGACCTAACTCATCGCCTGCCACTCAGAAGACGCTGTTAGCTTGTGACATGATTGCCGTGTGTGTGTGTGTGTGTGTGTGTGTACTCACGCGCGTACACACACGTGTGCAAGTGCATGTTATGCATGTGTGCTTGAGTGTATTTCTGTGTATCATGTGCCCATGGAGGTCAGAAGAGGGTGTTGGGTCCCCTGGAACCTGAGTTATAGGTGATGTGAGCCACCGCATAGGTGCTGGGAACAGAACCCAGGGCCTCTGCACAAGCAGTCAACCCTCTAATCTACTGTGTCTTCTCTTCAGCCCCACAACCCTCACAATTTTATAGGTTTACAAGGAAACTTAAGAGAAAGCTAGTAATTGGCGGAAGGTTACATGGTCACTAGGCCTGGAGGTTTCAGTACCACATCCCTTCAGTTAACCCATGGTTACCCATTGCTCTCTCTCTCATCACCCTGGACTTTTCAATTGGCCCAGCCCAGCGCTTCCCTCTTTTGGATGTTTGCATTCTACTTTGGTCGGGGTCAGGCTACCATGGTGCCTGCTTTCCATCCAGGTGCCCGCTCCCAGCCCTGGGTACAGTTCCAGCGCCGAGCTGCCCGCCTACCTGCCAGCTCCACCTACAGTCAGCTTTGGGCTTCGCTCACCCCTGCCAGCACCCAGCAGGAAATGCGGGCTTTCCCGGCCTTCCTGGGCACGGAGGCCTCCAGCTCAGGTAAGCCATGTGTACTGAATGTAGAGGGGAGATGCCTTCCTTCCCTAGGGAGTTAGCCGTGAGTGCCAATGTTCTCTTCCCGCAGGCAATGGCTCCTGGCTGGAGCTGATACCCCTCGCTGCTGTGAGTGTACATTTGCTAACAGGCAATGGGACAGAGGTGCCGCTCTCCGGCCCCATTCACCTGTCCCTACCGGTGCCCTCAGAGCCTCGTGCCCTGGCTGTGGGCACCAGCATTCCAGCCTGGAGATTTGACCCCAAGAGTGGTAAGTGTTAGGGGCAGAGCTGCAGGGGATTGGGGAAGGAATGTGGGGCTTAGGTTAGAGGTGGTAGAACACTGAGTTTGATGAACGAGCTCCTCTGGCCTCTTCCAGGGCTGTGGGTACGAAATGGTACAGGTGTGATCCGAAAGGAAGGCCGGCAGCTCTACTGGACTTTTGTCTCCCCACAGCTGGGGTACTGGGTGGCTGCCATGGCCTCCCCTACGTCTGGTGAGATTGGTGGGGCAGAGGGGCGGTGGGCAGTGGTGGGCGGGAAGGCTGGGAGAGCTCAGGCCCTGTGAAAGGCAGGAAGGGCATCCCAAGCCCTTGCCTGGCACAGGGCTGGTTACCATCACCTCAGGCATTCAGGACATCGGCACCTACCACACAATCTTCCTGCTGACCATCCTGGCGGCTCTAGCCCTCTTGGTTCTCATTCTGCTGTGTCTACTGATCTACTACTGCCGGTGAGTGCTCCTGGGGACCCATCCCGCCTTCTCTCCCAGGATCCCCGCCTTGGGGTCTCACAGATGCAGAAAGCCCAATCAAGATCCTCAGTGTGCTTCCAGGAACAGAAGCAACAAGAATGGCAAGAGCTAAGACCCAAGAGGCTGGTGGCTTTAGAGAAAGGGGTGACAGATTGGCAGGACCTGCGCGGGCCTTGCCCATTGCAGAGACTATCCCACTGTCCAAGCAACCCAGCTCTTACTCCCAGGAGACCCCCCCCCCCCAAGAGCAGGCACTCCTAGCTGGTTTACATACCAAGCGCTACCAAGTTTACTCCATGAAGCTGAACGGATGAAGATCCTGGATGTCTTCTCTTTCTACAAACAGCTTCCAGCTTCCAGGCATCATCTACGCCCCCGCCCCGTATCTATCTTCAATGTTCTAGGCATCATCCACTATTCACCGTGCAACTGCCATCTTCATCCCTTCTTGGCAACTGTGGGGGTTAAGGAGACCTGTGCTTTCAGCATTCCTGAGGTCCTGTCTCTTTCCTTCTCACCAGGAGACGCTGCTTGAAGCCAAGACAACAGCACCGCAAACTGCAGCTCTCCGGCCCCTCGGACAACAAGCGAGATCAGGCCACGTCGATGTCTCAACTCCATCTCATCTGCGGGGGACCCCTGGAGCCTACATCTTCGGGAGACCCCGAGGCCCCGCCCCCAGGCTCCCTACACTCGGCCTTCTCCAGCTCCAGAGACTTAGCATCCTCCCGAGATGACTTCTTCCGTGCCAAACCGCGCTCCGCCAGCCGTCCGGCCGCCGAGCCTCCTGGTGCTCGCAGCGGCGACGGTGCCGGGCTCAAGGGCGCCCGTTCCGTCGAGGGTCCTGGAGGACTGGAGCCCAGCCTGGACGAGTACCGGCGGGGTCCCGCGGGGGCGGCGGCCTTCCTGCAAGAGCCTCCCTCGCCGCCGCCGTCCTTCGACCACTATCTAGGCCACAAGGGGGCGACCGAGAGCAAGACCCCTGACTTTCTGCTGTCGCAGTCGGTGGACCAGCTGGCGCGGCCGCCGTCCCTCAGCCAGCCTGGCCAGCTCATCTTCTGTGGCTCCATCGACCACCTCAAGGACAACGTGTACCGCAACGTCATGCCCACCCTGGTGATTCCCGCACACTACGTGCGCCTGGGCGGCGAGGCTGGAGCCGTGGGAGTGGGCGACGAGGCCACCCCACCGGAAGGCTCGGCCGCCGGCCCCGC